GTGCACGCCTTTAATCCCAGCACTTGGGAGGCAGAGGCAGGTGGATTTCTGAGTTCGAGGCCAGCCTGGTCTACAGAGTGAGTTCCAGGACAGCCAAGTTTACACAGAGAAACCCTGTCTTGAAAAACCAAAAAAAAAAAAAAAAAAAAAAAAAGATACAATTGTTTTTTTAATTTGTCTATGTGTATGAGTAGTTTGCTTGCATCTATGCCTCTGCACCATGTGCCTGCAGGGCCCAAAGAGGCCAAAAGAGGGCACCAGATCTCCTGAAGCTGGAGTACAGGCAGTTGTGAACCTCTATTCTCTTAGCTGCTGAGGCATCTCAATCATGACACTAGGATGGATGAGTGCATAAGATGGAACTTCAACTGTAATTCCTGCCAGTTCAAACATTATAAGATGTCTGATGTCTTCCTTGATGATGTCATAGGAGAAGAATCTCAATAACCTCGGAATTGGTGAAGATTTCCTTAATCTTACTCAAAAAGTACAGGCTAAGAAAGGAGGAAAAGTCAATAAATTGGATTTCACCAAAATTTGGAACTTGTTCTTCAAAATTCATGTTATTAAAATGAAAAGCTTCTGTTGAAAAAGTATTTTCAAAACATCTCTGGCAGGGCTTGGATCTTAATTTTTTACATATATATATATATATATGTGTGTGTGTGTGTGTGTGTGTGTGTGTGTTTTTCAAAAAACAAAAGCAGGTGGCTCATGACAGCACTCAAGGCAGAAGCAGGCAGATCTCTGTGAGTCTGGGGCCAGCCTGGTCTATATAGCAGATTCCAGGCTATCCAGCGCAACATAGATCTCCCTGTCAAGAAGAAGGAGATCTGAGGAGCAGCTCCACGGTGGAGCTCTGATCTAGTGTGCACAGTGCCCTGGGATCAAGCCCCAGCACCCACCCCCCCAAAAAAGAAATAGAATTCTCGGCACAAGCATGGTAGAATGCCTGGTATTGGTAATCACCAGCAAAGGGCAAATCAAAGCTACCTGGAGGGGGACTAGAAAGATGGCACCGCAGTTAAGAGCACTTGCTGCTCCTGCAGAGGACTTAGCTTCAATTTACAGCACCCACATGGTGACTCACAACCATTGTAACTACAATATCAGGGGATCCAATGCCTTGGTCTGATCTTCGTAGGTACCAGGCACATAAATGCACAATACACACACACACACACACACACACACACACATACATGCAGGCAAAACACTCATACAAGAAGTGAAAATAGAATCTTGAGCTGGAGAGATGGCTCAGAGGTTAAGAGCACTGACTGCTCTTCCAGAGGTCCTGAGTTCAATTCCCAGCAACCACATGTGGCTTATAACCATCTATAATGAGATCTGGTGCTCTCTTCTGGCCTGCAGGTGTGCATGCAAGCACAATGCTATATATACATATACATATACATACACATACACATACACATACACATACATATATATAATGAGTAAATCTTTTAAAAATTAAAAATCTAGGAAGAATTTTTTTAAAGAAAAGAAGAAGAAAATAGAATCTTAAAAATTAAGAGGAGAGCTGGGTGTGGTGGTGCACACCTGTGATCCCAGCATTTGGAAGATATAGGCAAGAGAATCAGGAGTTCAAAGTTAGCCTCAGCTACACAGCAAGTTCCAGGCCAGCCTGGGCTACTGAGACTCTGTCTCAAAGAAAGGGAGGAGGGAGGGAAGGAGGGATAGAAAGAGAGGGAGGAAAAGAGGATTAGAGAGAAGAAGGGCAAGAAAACACTTAAAGAAGATATCACTTTCTAGAAGGACTAGGATTTAGAAGGCTGACACAGGTTGGTGAGAGGCACTGGCGTTCTCATACAGTGCTCAAAGGGCTAGAAAGTAGCACAGGCACTGTGCATAAAACAGCCTGGGAGCCCCTTTACAAGTTAAGTGTAGATCTCCCTAGGCAGTCCACGCCTAGGCATTTAACCCAGGAGACAAGAAATCATATATTCACACAGAGCTTTCAATGATTCAACATTCTAGAAAGATACCAGATAACCTGTTTCCACGGTAATAGGAGTAGGCTGGTAAGAGGGGAAGGGATAACTAAAGGATTCCAGGACATTTTGGCAGGTGTTGGACATGCTCATGTTCTATAGTCTGGCTATGCTGGTAGGCATGTACATAAAAACTATGTTCTTCTAGATTTATTGTATTCATTTGTGTGTGAGAGACTATATACAAATATGTGCTGGTGTGCTTGTTTGTGCAGATGCAGAGGCCAGAAGAGGCCATGCAGTCCATCAGAACTGGAGTTACAGCTGTTATGGGAAACCCGGCTTGTTGCATGGGTATTGGTATCTGAACTCTGGCACTCATGATTGTGCAATGCACTTGTAACCACTAGGCCATCTCTCTACCCCCTACAGAAGCCCTTGAAGTTGTACATTTTAATCATGTTCATTTTACTTTAAACTTTCAAAAAATAATTACTTGGACCATTGTTTATGGGAGAGGAAGGGACAAAAATAGAGAAAAAAATCCTAATATTCCTTAGTGGGAATTAATGTGATAATCTGCATCTAAAAATCAGTACCTTTAGGCTGGCAAGATGACTTAGAGGTAAAGGCACCTGCCACCAAGCCTGACAACCTGGCTTTCAATTTCCGGGACCCACAAGGTGGAATCTACTCCTGAAAGTTCTCTTCTGACCTCCACACAAGCTGAATGACATGCAATCACCACCTCCAACGCCCTCACAAAATAAAATGTGTTTGTTTTTAAGACAGAGTCTCTCTATGTATCTCTGACTGTTCTGGAACTTGCTCTGTAAACCAGGCTGGCCCTGAACTCAGAGATCTGCCTGAGATCTTTCTTACGCACGCTAGGACTAAAGATGTGTGTCACCACCACCTGGCACAAATAAATTTTAAAAGAGAAAAAAATTAAGTATGTTATTTAAAGCATAAAATTTACAAGGATCACTAAAAATTGAACACTCTCTGAAGTTGCAGACTGTGCCCTTGAGAACACATGGTGTCAGCTGGTTGTGTAGGTCTATGTTCAGCCACTGAGGCACAGAGAGTAGGAGAGGTCCCACATGAGAACAGTTGGAACCCAGGCCTGGAATCCCAGCGCTTGGGAAATGGAAGCAAGAGGACTGTAGTAGCAGGAAAGGTGACTCCGTGGTTAAGAGAATTTGCTGCTCTTCCAAGGATCCCACTTCAGTTCCAAGCATTCACATGATAGCTCACAACTGTCTGTAACTCCTCCAGTTCCTGGGGATCATGAAGGCAAACACACATATGCATAAAATAAAATTAATTTTAAAGCCACTGGTTGTGGCGCACGCCTTTAATCCCAGCACTTGGGAGGCAGAGGAAGGCAAATCTCTGAGTTCAAGGCCAGCCTGGTCTACAAAGCAAGTTCCAGGACAGCCAGGGCTACACAGAGAAACCCTGACTTGAACAAACAAAACCAAAAAAATTAGTTAAAAAAAATTAAAGATGATTGCAAGTTCAAGGCCAGCATAGTTTCACTACATAAAGATATGCTGCTCCCCCCCCACACACAAAAAACCACCTCAGATTTCATTAGTGATTAACAAAACCATGTGACAATATAGCTCATATAATTTAAGAGTTTTCATTTGTTTAGGGTGCTTGTATGCTTGGGTGGGCAGATGAGTAGGAGAGTGTATGAAGAGGACAAAGGTCAGTGAAGGCATTGTCCCTTAGTCATTTCTTAGTCACCTGGTTTTGACCTGGAGCTCTATTCTTAGGCTAGACTATCTGTCAGGGAGCTCCTGGGTGTGCTGGTCTTGGGAGCGTGCCTTCCCAGACCTGGGATTACCCTCAGTTTTGTATGCTATCATAGATGGGGACTAGGGCCCTTGGGTTCTGGAGCACTTTTGCCTATTGAGTCATAAATTAAAACTTTAATTTTAAAAACTATTTTATTAAATTTGACTTAGTCTATGTTTTCAGGCCCATATCTGCTGTGCCACCCATAGAGAGTTCTGAGGACAGCTTGCAGGAGTTAGTTGTCTGGTTCCACCGTGCGAGTCCCAGGGATCAAACTCAAGTCACCAGACTTGACAAAAGCACTTCTTCAGTACAAAATTTTCAATGTGTTATCAGATCCTCAGAACTCATCACCCAAAATCCCCAGGGTTTCCCAGCTGCTGGAGTACTTCTGGGTACTCACACCTGCAGGCCAGGCTAGGACAGATGTTCAAAGGGGAAGATGATTTAGAGTTCTTCATATGACTGTGTCTATAAGAAGTCTTCAGATTAATCAATCCTTTCAAAAGCATCAGGCAACTGTTGTTTGAAGAGTTACAGTGATGCCTTCAGGGAATATACATATTTTGGAAGGTTTTTAAAAAATATTTATCTTTGTTTTATGTGTATGAGTGTTTGCATATATGTATGTGTGCCGTGTGTGTGCAACGCCCTTAAAGGTCAGAAGATGATGTTGGATCCCCTGGGATTGGAGTTAGGGACAGTTATGAGTCCTGATGTGGGTCACGGGAACTGAACTCCAGACCTCTGCTGGAGCAGCAGGTGCTCTTAGCTGTTGTGCCATTTCTCCAGCACTGAGAATGCATATACTTAAAATAGCATACGAAGGACTGTGGGTGTGACTTAGTTGGCAGGGTGCTTGCCTGGCATGCCTAGCATGGGTTTGTGCATTTCATGAACCAAGTAACACATGTTTTTAATCAGGAAATAAGAGACAGGAGGTTAGAAGTTTAAAGCCAGCTATAGAGAATTCAAGGCTAGTCTTGTCTACATGAAACCCTATCTCAAAAAAAAAAGTGGAAAACCAAGTCCATCTTGCGTACAAGGCACAGAGGCAGCTCAAAGGTGTGGAGCTCCTCTGGTGTGTCAGAGGCCCTGCATTCCAGCCCCAGCTCCTAGGAACATAATCGCTACATTATTTTCTTTCTAGTAATAAGTTTCTAAAATGATCTCCATCCTCCTTCAAGGTTCTACCCAGGCAAAGGCCATACTAAGTCTGTTTTCTTGTTCCTTCTTCAGGTGGACACGTCTTTCACCGGAACTCCCTGTCACCTCGTAGCCTAGTGTATGAAAGCGAATTCTCCACAATCGAACCTTCTTTGGACATGTATGATGAGAACAAAACCTGATTTTTTTTAAAATGGGCTATTGGGGGTCTCTCCTTTTGAGATTTGATTTATGGTCACCTTTATTACTTTGTCATCCTCTGTCATCGTCCGTCTGGGAAGAATGGCAGTACCTCTGGGTGCAAGTTGGGGTTCAGGGTTAAATTACAGAGTTTCCCCAAGGTGAAGTTTGAGGGCAGCATTACTGCCCAGGTGAGCCTCGTGGTACCACCCAGAGCTGACCACTGAGCATGGGCACCTCAGGAGCTTTGCTGTTTCCAGAGAAGAAACCAGGGGCCAGGGGTTAATGATGCGTTTGTTGCAAATGTGTCTGTGTCCCCAAATAGTCACATGCTGTTCTGTGTCAGGGTGGCATGGGGGTTTTTGTAAAATACATTTTGTGGTCCTCACACACACAGGAAAGCCTGCAGATAAAACGTCTCCCTGATGCAGAGTATGGATCATGGCTCCTCGACCTACTTTCCCTTCTCCTCTGTCTCTTCCTGTATTTTCTGGTAAAAGGCCTCTTCCCATAGGGAGTCCTTCAAGAGAAGCTTCATCTTCCTTTCCCCCTGTAAGACTCCAACCTCCTGTTGTCCTCCAGAGCTGGGGGGACACAAGCCATGGGGCCCAGAGTTGTCACAGGATCAGTCATCTGCTTTATCATTTTCCTGCATCTGTGATCAGCATGATATAAGATGTCAAGTATTTGTATAGGCACTGGATATGGGAGGCATCTGTCCCCACTGTCTGTGGTGTCTTTGGGAAGGTGGCACCAGGAGCCAAGCAGGATGACTGCAGGGGAGAAGGTTAACAGTCATCAACAACAAAATGGTTTTGAATGTTTTCTTGGGAAGTGCAAACCAACATCCTACTATTGAATACCAAATGGGGCCTCCTCCTTCTTCATCTTGATTGTCCAATCCAGTGCCATCCTGCCAATCTCAGCACCAACATGAAGAAAAACTGGAGCGCTGGCAGCCAGACTTACAGAAGAGGATGCTGTGGCCAGCATGGTGGACACTGGGGCATGTGTGCTCTTCCCACACATCCAGAATGATATCAGGTTAACATATGAGGAACTTGTGGGACCAGGATCAGCAAAACACCTCCTTTCTGCAGAAATTTGTGCCACGTTCAGCCTGCTTTTCATTAGAGCTGGAAAGGTGTCCAGACCCTTGTTAGGAGAATGCAGTGTCTAGCCGTGTGCATGACAACACAACAAGCAGAGGGGGACAGGCTCCCACCCTGACACTTTATTGGCTCTATGGGTCATAAGTTTGAGGCACATACATTTCATCTTCACACGTGTGGCTTCTCCTCTGTCACAGCATCTTGTAACATCCCTCAAGATCCTAAGATCCCTCAGATGCTCCTGTGCCTGAAGCAGACCCTCAGAGAGCCTGCGTGCTGACAGCCTGTAAGGATATGGTGGAAGGGCGAGCCCCCCCACCCCACCCCCTGCTCTTCGCTTGAGTACTCGAGGCTGGACCAAGACAGACGTCTAAGGTCTTGCCTGCTTTCACTTTTACTGATTACCAAGGGCTTTTGTCTTTCTTTTTTTTATAGTCTTTGTACTATAAAAATATTTTTGATAAAGTTTCAATAGATTATCGTTCTGAAAGACAGGTTCTCAAGTGAGAGCATTTCAACAGAAGACTAGACTGCGGGTCCACAGGCTCAGGTGAAAGTGCTTGGTGCGGCAGACCAGACAGATGCTGTAATTGCCATGTTGTCCGAAGCCTGGCCTTGTCTTCTCCATAACCAAAACTCAGATCCCAGTGAATCGTTTTCTTCAGGTCTCATCTGTCTTATAAAGGCATATACATTAAGTTCCACTTTAGACAATTTCTTTACTAAAAAAAAAAAAAAAAAGAGAGAGAGAAACAGAATTGTTTGGGGAAAAAATTAAATTGAGTCCTCTAAAATCTACTGAGATGGTATTTGAATCCCTGGAAAAACTGGGGCATGTGGTCATTGTAGTACAGCCAAGGAGGCAGTTCCTATGAAGAGATTCACTCAGAATGGTGCTCCAGATACCAGGTTGACCCCCTTTTCCTGATAATTGGGGCCACCTTCAACTCAGATCAGATGTCCTGTCTTTGTCCAGAAGGTCATTGGCTTCTTTGTTGAGGGCATGTGCTTTGGGAATACAGAGGATAACAGCTTCCTACCAGGACCTATGATAAGGGGACACCCCATGAAGCCACCCTGGATACCCAGGTGGAGCTGGGTGCACAACCAGTACTGGCATTCGCCATAGAGCACATGCCTATCAGGATCTGCAGCCGCAGGCAGCATTAGCTGCAAACTGGGCTGCAGCAGCTTGAATACAGAGGTTTAAGCTTTTGAGATACTTAGCTTCCTTGTGGAGGGGCCATCCTGCTCCTCTTACTTCAGGGAAAAAGGACAGCTGACTGGCCTGGATATCCAGGTATAAATGCCCCAGAGTGTCTTCAGAAGTAATGAGTATATCCATCCAGGACCCGGCCTTTGCTCTCCTCTTAAGAAAACAGGCTCTACCATCAACAGTTTAAAACTCCTCCCAAGGCCCACTAAGCCTTGCTTTTGAATCGGCCTCCATCTCCTGGCTCCTCTGGTTGTTCCCTCATAAGACACATCCCTGGAAGCCAATCTGTCATGAAGCTGAGCCTCTGCTTCTCATCTGCCCTGAGGTATGACAGCCTGGGATGCCGAAATATGTAGTCAGAAAGACATCAAACCAAAGGTGACTGAACCTTACTAACTGGCATGTCTCGTGGGCTTTGTAAGCCTTCCTGGTCTTATTACCCCTCACCTCCATGTTCTCCTTCATCTATGCACTAAATGACACCAAACTGAGGGAAAGAAAGCCACTTGTTCCTTAGCTGTTCACCTTTGCACTAGGGGTCCTCGTCCTGCTGCAAGAAAACAAGACTGTGCTTTCACATCAGGATTCTTCCTGACAAAGGGTCACTGCTCATAAATGTCAAGAAAGAAACCTCCTGAATTTTAAACCGTGGCATTTAGAAGGGAAAGGTGAGACTATGGAGTTAGTTTTGTCAATAGCCCTTTTAGTCATTTTCTTTTTTAGTTTTTCAAAACAGGGGTTTTCTCTGTATCCCTGACTGTTCTAGGACTCACTCTGTAGACCAGGCTGGCCTCAGAGATCCACCTGCCCCTGCCTTCCTAGTACTGGTTTTAAAGGCGTGTGCCACCATGCATAGCCCGTTACAGACTTCTTATAAAGTTCTCACTGTGTACCTGACTTGTGCACTGGGAGTTCAGGCAGCGTAGTCATAAAGACTCGGGAGTCTGGGGTACCTCTCAGCGCTCAAGCGCTTCGGTGGTTGAGCATATTTGGCTGTCCTGGAAACTGGCATGTTGGCAACAGAGTGAGAGCAGTTGAGATGAGGGTGAGCCTCGAGGGGACAGTCCCCTGGGCATAGGTGGAAGAGTAGAGCGCACCTGCTGTGTCTGGATGGAGAAGGGTCATGTGGAGCAGCAAGAGTAAAGGTCCTTGGCTGAAGCCACCATCTCCCCTTCTGGGGCCAGGGAAGCTCCAGGGTCTGCTTGGGAAAACAACACTATGAGCTGCATGCAGACTGTGTGAGAGGCAGAAGGCAGATGGGCCCTGCTGGGGGCTGGCATCCTAGCAGTTGGCTTGGGACCAAGGGACCCCAGACTGAGCTGATTAAATGTAGGAAAAATGGGGGGGGCTATAAAATAGAAATGGAAAGTAGATTTCTAACCTCAATGATTGAGTGACTAATAGTGGGACCCAGGAGAACCCATAAAACTCAGCCCTGAAGTGATGTCTACAGGATCCCAGGCCCTGGGAGGCTCTGCATCTTCCCCTCCCCAGCGCTGTGCAGAGGTGTGTACACTGGGCACACATGCCCACCCTGACAGAAGCAGCTGCTCAGTGCCGATGATGGTGCCAGCCAGAGAGAAATGGGCTAGGCAACATTGATTGGGATGTACAGCTCACAGAAAAGGCTCCTGGAGACACTGATGCAGAGAAATGACTGTGCATGACAGTTCTCATCTTCCAGTGTTCAGAATGGGAGGTCTGTGCCCTTCAACTCAAAGGCAGTGTGAGGAGGTGAGAATAAGGAATCGTTAACACAGGGTGACTGTCCTGATACCCACAGCTTAAAGCAAGCACCTTACATGCAGACCTATGCAGTGCCTACAAACAGTGCATGGAGTTTGGGCGCTGTGGGTGCATCAGTTTTAACCTGTCTAGAAAAGGAGAATTGTTTAAGATGCTTGCATGCGCTGGGCAGTGGTGGTGCACGCCTTTAATCCCAGCACTTGGGAGGCAGAGGCAGGTGGATTTCTGAGTTTGAGGCCAGCCTGGTCTACAGAGTGAGTTCCAGGACAGCCAGGGCTATACAGAGAAACCCTGTCTCAAAAAAACAAAGGGGGTTGGGGGGGAAGAAGATGCTTGCTTGTGGTTGAAATCACTGCCAGACTGGGAAAGATGCTTTACAGGCTGTAAGTATGACGGTGTCGGAAAAGGACCAGAAGGAATGTTGGGACTAAGATGCAGGTGTCTGTAGCACAGGACCGTGCTCACCTGTGATCCTGGAAACAGCAGGAAAGCAAAGCAGATGGGAAAGCTGCTCTTGCAGACTCCCTGTCTCTGGCTGGCTGTGCTCTCTGCAGATTACAGTATTTACAAGTCATGTCAGCCTCCTGAAGCCTGAGGGTGAGGGCTGTGATCAGGAAGTCCCCTTGTAGCCAAGGAACTCCTTCAGGGCTCTGGCAGGGTTAATAGGCTCCTATCTTCTTTATGGGTATTCCCAGAAAACCGACCTTTGATGAGGACAGGCCAGGTAGACCCTGGGATAAAAACAGTCACCCGTGTCTTCCAGAATTGTGACCCCACTAGTCTGTAGTGACCACAGAGGCAGAGAGAGCTGTCAGCCTCAACTGCTAAAAGGGTGACATTTCTACATTACAGACATGGTTCTGAGGGCCCTAAAATGGCCCTGTGGAAGCTACTCCTCCCTTGATGTTCTTCCTGAAGTTCTCCTAGGCTCAATACACTTTTCTCCCTGCTTTCTTCACTCTGACTTGGAGAAGGAAGAAGATACCCATGGCACATCCCAGAAAAGCCTTTGAACTCTGTGCAACCCAACCATTGCCTCCAGAGTAGCTTGGGCCTCCTCCCTGGGATTCATCAGGTTCCTCCTATTGACTCTTTAAGACAGGATTAAGGTGGCCAGAACCCATGCCACATCCTAAAAGTATAATCTTTCTCAGAAGCATTGGCAATGGCTGGAGCTGAAGGTGGAGCCCTCACTCAGCCTTTAGCGCCTTCACATGTGTACTCATCCCCTCCCGAGGAAAGGCTGAGCGCTAAGCATACTCCCCCCCCCCCCCCGTAGTGACTCTCCATCTCCTCACCTTCCAAGTTCCCCAAAACATCTGATGCTGACGTGTGTCATTTCTCGCCAGTCCTCTGAACTCCA